GCCCTGAATTGGGGCACACCTCTCTGTGTAAATGGGAAGTAAACATTAGTCACTTGGGACAGGTTTCCATAAAAGCTTGACATCCATTATGTCCCTGTGGCAAGCCGAAGGCCATGTGACTATTTCCACAGGCAACAGACGGAGGCTAAGTGTGAGTTTAGTCGAGGGCACCTGGGTGGCGTATGTGGATCCTTTAGTCCAAGTGGTGGCGTGGTTTCCCTCAGCAGGCAGCACTTCTCCTTTTAGATCCATCACAGTCTCTCTTTCTCGCCTGTAAGTAGTAAAGCTGTCTATCGGCTCTCTAAACATGCCTTTACATACCCTGCGGCATGTTTCTATCCATAGTTCATCTTAGAGCAGCGTCTTCATACACACATCAAATCATATCAGCGTGACCATGCAAACTTTATTTTATTGAACTAGAATCGAACAGATGTACAGTGCCAGCACCGGTGGCAGAAAGTACTAAACCCTGAGCTCATCAAGGGCCCGTGGACCAAAGAAGAAGACCAGAGAGTAAGTTCTTCCTCCGCTGTGTGCGATTCCCCATGTACAACCTCCCCTACCCTCTGTAGGCCTGTGTTCGACTTGAGAAAGCAGATCAAGTGTGTAAACAGGACGCAGAGGATCCTCTGCCCATGTGTCCAATGATTCAAAGCAGACTTTAAAAACAAAAAAAAATTTTTTTAAAGATCTTGTAACACTGCAGAATGATGACCCTGACTCATTACATACCATTAAAACACAGGTTATGTTTGTGTGTTTATCTGAAGGTGATAGAGCTTGTACAGAAATACGGTCCGAAACGTTGGTCTGTTATTGCCAAGCACTTAAAGGGGAGAATTGGAAAACAATGTAGGGAGAGGTGGCATAACCACTTGAATCCAGAAGTTAAGAAAACCTCCTGGACAGAAGAGGAAGACAGAATTATTTACCAGGCACACAAGAGACTGGGGAACAGATGGGCAGAAATCGCAAAGCTACTGCCTGGACGGTAATAATATGTCAAAATATATATTGATTGGGAGGATGAGGGAAGGGAATGGGCATTGAAAACGCTGTTTTAAATGTATGGTGAGTGGACTGCACTCCATTAGGTGTATTGCATTGGTGAACCCGAGCCATGCCCTTCAGGACTGTGAGAGATCTTAAGCGTGCATCTTAACTGGCTGAAGACTTGAGTCAAAACACTTGTGTTTAAAGAATGCCTGAATTCAGCCAGCCATGAGCCCAGGCCATGTTTTGTTTGCTTGTTTTTTAAGACGGTCTTCAGCCTCAACTTCTCCCTTGGTAAAATGAGTAATAGCCAACTCCATTGGGCCAATGTGAGGACCAGCAAACGAGTGTCAAAGCATTTGGTAAACTACCAAACTCAAAAGACGTAGTAACCGAGTTTGTCTCTAGTCTGAGTTTGCACAGCTGATTCAGAGGAACTTGGGCACCATTAAAAATATCTGTATATTTTTAATCATTCTGGAGTTCATTTCCCTAAGCTGTCACTTTTCTTAAGTTTTCTCCTTTTGAGTAAAACAATGAATACATTTCTAGAAGGTTTTAAAACAATGTCATCATAGAGCTTTGTTTTTAATAAACAAGGCAGGGAAATGATTTCGTTGTGAAGGATTTCAGTGGAAGCTAGTCTTTTCCCCTATTTCTATTCTTTTATTTATTTTAATAAGTCATTTTATCAGGGGCTCTTACAGCTCTTATAACAATCCATACATCCATTCTATCAAGCATTTTGCTCATATGTTGCCATCATCCTTTTCAAAACATTTTCTGTCTACTTGAGCCCATGGTATCAGCTCCTCTGGAAGCCAGTTTTTGTTCACAGTCCCCACTTAAACATAATGTAACAGACTTTGTTGATTTGAAAAATATTTTATTATGATCCCAAAACAATGTGAGGTTTTTTTTTTATTGTAAAGATCTTTTTCTTCTGGAACTTTATATCCCAAAGTGGAGAATGGGTCAAGTTCTGCTCTCCTGCGGAGCGTGAACTTTCCTTTGTGCTAGCCCTGTAGAAGCTCAGAAAGTTTAATAGGCTGGTAAAGGGAGGCCTCTTATCACATATGGTCTGGGAGGATATGCTGTGGATTCTTCAAAAAATTAAAGGGGCCCTTGAACTTCCCCTTTCTTTCACTTACATCCCGCCCGCCCCCTCAGAATAGTAAAAGAGAGGCTTAAAACGGTTTTTTGAATTGAGAAACTTTTCCTGAGAGCTGAACAACATTAGTAAAAATGCTGTGCACTTTGAAGATAGGTTGAGGGTTAGCATCTTGTTTCCACGCTCACCTGTCCGGTGACTGAACAGCTGCGTGGTTTTCCAAAGAGGATTTTTCTTGACCCCCAAATTCCTTGCTGGCACAAGGAGAGGAAAGGAGAGGTCAGTGAGGTGGCAGCCGCAGCTATGGGGTCATTCGCCACCCTCGCTCAGTGCCTGCTGTGCTGTGGGGCACCGCTGGCCCACACTCCGGAGAGTCCTTTTCTGTGGGAGCTGAAGCTGTGAGCCGCCCAAGAGCCTAGTACTCAAATGGTTAGAATGAGCCTGAAGGGTTATCATGCTGGGAATACACCTGTCCCAAGGATCCCCAAAGATACCAAAATGTATAGAAAGTCCAGCTCCGTAATTAAGGAAAACCACTGGATTTTAAATAGGCACCTGGGAGTGCATGGTATGAGGAGGTAGAAAAGTGACTCCCACACTGAAAATGATTCGTGGACCAGAAGAAAAGGTCCCTGTGTCAAGCAGTTTTCTGTCATTTAACTTTAATCTGAGTGGAACTATTTGCTCGTAAACTTGTTATGTGATATATTTCTGTGCAGAACTGATAATGCTATCAAGAACCACTGGAATTCTACCATGCGACGGAAGGTCGAACAGGAAGGTTATCTGCAGGACTCGTCCAAAGCCAGTCAGCCAACAGTAGCCACAAGTTTTCCGAAGAACAGTCATTTGATAGGTTTTCCTCACGCTCCACCTACTACTCAACTCCCTCCAACTGGCCAGCCCTCGGTTAACAATGACTATTCCTATTACCACATTTCTGACGCGCAAAATGTAAGCCATTCCTCAGAGGGTAATTTCATGCGAGACACGGTTACGTTCCCGCTAGACCATCATAACCTAACAGCTCACAGTTGTGGGCTTTCCCCAGTGCTTGCAGAAGCACAGTCGTGACCCAGCAAGCCCACCTTTACCCTCTAGGGAGCCAGTCGGGTCTTGTGACCCCTCACCGAGCTCCCCAGAAAGGAGTCATTGGTCCAGAGGTAAACAGCTCAGGAGGTGGTGCTGACCAGAACCCAGTTCTGAAACCACTACTGTCTAACTTGCCCCTTCAAATCCAATTTGAAATTAGCGTGTGGATAGGAATTTATTTAACAAGGCACTGTTGGAGAATGGAGATGGGCTTGTGGGCTAATAGTTTTATTTTCCTTAAGAAAGTTAAACGGGATGTTACTACATTTAAAGAGGAGATGGCTTCACTTACTGACATTCTCCCAGGAATTAAGAGTTTTTGCTTACGGGCATGATCTAGCAGGAGTGTCGGAATCTGTCTATTCATTAAGTCTTGACGCCCCTACTCTAAATCAAAAAGAACTTTGTGGCATTGATTGTCTGATGCCTTCCCACACTCACAATCTTTATTTGGACCGCTTATTATTCCGTTGTCATTCTAGATGTTATATGTAGGGAAAGAAATGCTTCTCAGTGGGTAGGAAAAAAATAAAGAGAAGAAACTCAAGACACTGTCGTCTTAAACATAGCAATACGTAATGGTAAAAGTTATTCTGAAATACAGAGCTCACATGCACACTATTTGCAAAGCATATTCATAACAAACTTTTTAAAAAAGTATTCTGTATTTGTTTCATGCCTTTGGCTCTGGACTTTCCAGAAAAGTCTAAGGCAAACAAGCATAAGAGCTTCTGTGTTTTTCCTTAAAACCCATGAGTCAAAGAGAAATGTTTGTATTGCAAACGGTTCCTATCATGCATCCCTCACCTCGAAACTTCTTTCAGACATTTAAAAATGCACTTTAGATTCTATTTTCCAGGGGTCTTCCCTAAGAAACACTCGATGCACCCTTCAAATGTCGTCCCCTGTGATCCGCTGTCTGTGCTGGCTCCTAGAAACCTTGTGTACAACGGAAAAGAAAACTGCCCAGTCTAGCGCCACCCTCTGTGAGGTCTGAGGTTATGGTTGCAGCCCCTGTGGCAATTAATCTCATTGAGGGTCTCTCTCTTTTTCAGTGGCCCTCTCCTTTACTAAGCATGTTGACCTTCTTTAGAGAGTGGTCCCTACTAGGAAGGAGTCCGAAGTACTTAAGACCTACCGAGTCTCGCCATCTTCGCTTCTAAAGAGCACCTTGGCCAGTTAGCGATCTAGCCACTTCACAACGACTAAGTGAATTAGAATGCTTTTTTATCACTCAGTCAATGTCATTAGAACAGCACTATTTTCTCAATTCTGGGGTAAAACCTTGGGGAGCCAGGTCCCCCGGAGCTTCAGTGATCCCGATGTGATCAGGTCTTCGTTTTGCTGTTTGCTCTAGATCCCCGGTCATGTTCCGTATCCCGTAGCCTTACACGTGAATATAGTCAATGTCCCTCAGCCCGCCGCTGCTGCCATTCAGGTAAGACCATTTCCCAGAGAAACGTTTTCACTGTGCAAGGCACTATTTGTAAGAAATGCTTTCTTTCTTTCCTCTAAACGCCTACTTTTGGCTGAGCCAACTGGAGTAAAAGCAGAAGAGAGCAGCGGGCAGGAGGGACAGTGCTCTGACCCCCCAGGTCCCCACCTTGGCTTCTGGCGGGGATTTGCTCTGGGGTTCTCCAGTTCTCTCTCAGGCTGTCGGAGGGAACAGCTCTTCAGCCAGCAGCCCCTGGGGCCTCAGGTCTCAGTTTACCTCGCTCCCCTCACTTGGGCACACCATTCATGTAGACTTCTGTGGGGGCCCCAATCCGCTTGGTGTTGGTTTCACCAAGGTAGGCTCTGGGCTGTGGGTGACCATAGATTGTATTTATCATTGCATTCACAACTTCCAGTCACCCTGTGTGCCTTTTCTCCCTCAACTTTCAATTTCAGAGACACTATAATGATGAAGACCCTGAGAAAGAAAAACGAATAAAGGAATTAGAGTTGCTCCTAATGTCCACAGAGAATGAGCTAAAAGGGCAGCAGGCACTTCCAGTAAGAACACAGGGGTGTGCTTGGCCAGAGGTGGGGGGTGGAGAGGGTGGGCGGTGGGCGGCAGGGACGGGTCCGGCCTTCCCCAGACACTGGCTCTTCTTTATCCTTTTTCCTCTCCGTTACATGTTAGTCAAGGAGCCCTGGTGGCTCAGAGAGTTAAGCATCAGGCTGCTGATTGCAAGGTTGGTGGTTCAAAGCCACCCGCTGCTCCATGGGAGAATAATGAGGCTGTCCACTCCTGTAAAGATGTATGGTCTCTGAAACCCTGCAGTGCAGTTCTCCTGTGTCCTACAGGGTCACTGTGAGTTGGGACGGAGTTGATGCCAAGCCTGTGGGTTAAATATTATCCTGACCAAGTCAATGTGTTTCCATGGGCAATATTTAAACAAAAGAAATTGCTCGTAATAGAACACAGTTGGCACCAGAATATATGGTGCCTAAATTGGAAGCATTTCTGTATTGCAAAAAGAGCAGACAAATATCCACTTGGAAGTATCATCATTGACTTTTTGCTCCCTCCTCCACGAGCACTGTCATCACTTCAGAGGTTATCAAGGGGAAATGAGTGAAAGAAAACACACGCACACACATACACATATATATGGTGTTTTTTCACTGGTGCATCTTGCAATTAAGACTCGGTGCCTGTTCATTTGATTTTTTTTCTTTCTCTATGATTTCTCTTAACCTAGTGTTCTAGACTGTCTTATTTCGCCCTTGTTTGGATTCACATGTATAGACCACATAAAAGGTAAAGCAAGACCTACCTGCTCCATGAGGAGCGAGCCGCTCTGAGTTCACATGGCTGGTAGGGACGTGGGTCAGAACTGAATGATTAGCTTCTTTTTTAGGGATTAAACAGCAGACTGGGAATGCAGCTTGAACGTGGTGTCAGAGGCAGCTCACCAACCCAGACTAGAACAGAAGCGACAGCCCAGAGGTTCTTTTGGGGTAGATTTTTTTCGTTAAATGATAAAATGAGTATGTGGGCAGTGTGTCAGTCCGACCACTTTTTCACTTTAGCTGATGTTTGGCAATTTCTCCTCTTGCATGATCATGCTGAAAGGAGGCTTCTGTTAGCTTGCCCTTATCCTTTCCGGACCCCGTTGCGCTCGGAGCTCTTTGCTGCATCCTGTGAGCTGCAGCGCTAGGACGGGGTAGCAGCAAGAAGAGACTCGGCTGACAGCGACCCAGGCCTTTGCCTCCTGGGGCCCAGGTGTAGGTTAGAAAGCAGACGCAGGACATGCTTTCACTCACAGCAAAACTTTATGGACCTTCTGGAGATTACGTTAAAGTGGACTTTTTTTTTTCAAAGACACTCCTGTGAGAGTTGCACCTTGTGCCACAGTACCATTCGTTGTAGCTTTCACAAAACGATGACCCTACAAGCAATCACGGAGTGGACACACTATCCCGCTATGAAAAAGCAGGGCCTTGGCCTTTCTAAAAGGAAACATCTTGACAAGTGTTTCAGAGGCCTAAGTTCTGGGTGATGCAACTCCTTTTATCTTCCCTCCAACAGCATCTGACCCCTTGTGCAATGTCCTTGCTAAGTTCCTTCTCCCTTTCTTCTCCCCACTCTGTATTTCTCGCCACCCCACCCCTCCTCTGCTTAGACGCAGAACCATACCTGCAGCTACCCTGGCTGGCACAGCACTGCCATCGCCGCCACCGAGCCCAGCCGACCTCATGGAGACAGCTCACCTGCTTCTTCCTTGGGAGAGCACCACTCCACTCCATCCCTGCCAGTGGATCCCGGCTCCCTCCCGGAAGAAAGCGCATCTCCAGCCAGGTGCATGATCGTCCACCAAGGCACGATTCTGGACAATGTTAAGAACCTCTTAGAATTTGCAGAAACACTCCAATTTATAGATTCTGTAAGTAGAACGGTTGAGGCAAGTGAATGTGCTTTGGAAGGGGAATTAGGAAACCCATGTATTAAACCGTTGCCCTATTTTCTACAGCAAATGTCATGTTGTTTGCATACGTTGATGTAAAGGTAAACAAGTATGATGGCAGTCTTAGTAGACACCCCCTCCTCCTCAAAAGGTATGATCTCGTAGGCTTCCTGAGAAAAATTTTCACCCTTCACCTTCAAAATATATGTATTTCTTTAAGTAGTGAGGATTCTGATTACAAAGCAGAGTTTGGCCTGTGGGAATGATGTTGAGTTTTCCTTAACTCTTTTATTTTTTTTAACTTGCCTTCTTATTTTGTGCCTCTCTCAAACTTGCCTTGCTTTGGGATAGCACATTCAGAGTTATGTGCACCCAGAGCTTAGATCGAGGTATTTGAAGCAGTTATCAGTTCCTTGACGGGACCTCTGCCTTTCTCCCTGAACACTGGCGAAGGGTGACTAGTGCCGATGGACCCACCGAGTCCAGTCATCTTTAGCGAAACAAATTTGAGTTCAGCACATCTTGAAACAAAATTTTTCATTCATCCCCTTATAAGCAAACGCTTAGGCAATTCCCTAGGCTTCTCAGCTGGTTAAACATATTTCCTAAATAACGTATACCCTTTGGATGAGTATTGTCAATACTATGCTATCTAGAAAAGGTTGTCTTTTTTACTTCAGACTGCACGCAAGCAGCAGTGCTGGACGGTTCCAGCAGAACTCATGTAGGACCAAGCATGAGGCAGCTGGTAGACCGGCCAATGCAGTGTCACAGAGCCTTGAAGCGAATGCTTGAGAAGTCAGCAGGCCAGGGGCTCTCTTTGCATTTCGCCGTTCTCGCTCGCTGGCTTGCTGGCTCGCTCTGTCAGTGCTGTGTTTCGGGGTGGGGCACACATCATGCACACACTGTCTCAAAGTTCTGTGCCTCCCACATTGTTTCAGGACTCTTCAACGTGGTGTGATCTCAGCAGTTTTGAACTCTTTGAAGAAGCAGATTCTTCAGCTAGCCAGCACCACACAGGCAAAGCCCTCCAGCCCCAGCAAAGAGAGGGCTGTGGGACTAGACCCATGGCTAGACGCGTGTTGAGCGAGGGTCCACTTGAGCCACCCAGGCCCTTCCCTGCTGCAAGGCCCAGCACAATTCCACTGGTCATCCTTCGAAAAAGGCGGGGGCAGGCCAGCCCCTTAGCCACTGGAGACGCCAGTGCCTTCATATTTGCTGACGTCAGCAGCTCATCTCCCAAGCGCTCCCCTGTCAAAAGCCTGCCCTTCTCTCCCTCGCAGGTAGATCACAATTTCTGCACAGATGTTACTAATGTTCAGCAGACGCCCAAGACTGAATAATCTAGAAACTAATCCTTTGGAACGAATGACTAATTGCTGGTGCCCTACTGATTGCACTCCATGGTTGAATCTAGCTCTTGCTAAGTCACACTAGCTGCCGCAGTGCAAGCCGCCGCCTGCAGTGTGATTGCTGACGGTGTCAGTGAGTTTTGTCGCTCTTTGGTGGCTTGGATCATGATTTCTGCATGGCATGTGCTTCTACGTCTTTTTCTGTCCCTTCTCCTCCCGTCCTTTCCCTCCCTGTTACAATTTTAACCTTCTTTTCCTTGCCTATTTATTCACTTATTATTACGATGTGATTTCACTGACCCAGGGGAGTGGGGAATCAAACCCTGTTTTGATCACATGGGGGTTTTAATGAAAAGCCAGACAATGTTCCAATCCATCTGTATGTGGAAATGCTTCAGAAGAGGCAGCAGAGGCCCTTTTGGAAATGAAAATATTTGGTTTTAATTTTCATTTCTCAAGATTCGACTCTTTTGGATTGTGCTACATGACATATATTAGCGCAGTGTTTGCCAATGAATTTTCTTGCTTCCTTTAGTTTTCATTTTTAAGGCTTGGGAATTATCATTCTTGTTTAGAGATCTGAGTTCCTAAATGATGAGTACAATTAGAATCAACAGACAATTTGCCACTTCAAACCAATTTTCCAAATGTGCCTGTCCACTTTGCTTAGAACACAGCTTTCAGTATGAGCAAGTGATGCCCAACCAGAAACTTACCTTGTGCTTTGCCTGTATTTTTCAAACTCTGTTCTGCAGGATATCAGCTAAGAAATACATTGTTGGAAGTTGCAGGAAAAACAAAACAAAAACCCGAACATCTAAATATAAGGGAGCTTCCGAGAGTTTGTGGCAAAATGCCATTCTCTTCTCATTTTGTTTTTTTCCTACAAACTTTTTAAAGCCCCCTCATATGTAGATGTTATGAGTTTGGGAAACAAAGAATCAAACACATTTTTATAAATTGGATTCTCTCCTGCAGGACTGCTCTGAGTTTTTAATACACCCATGTGCCTTGCACAGTGCCTATTGTTAATTTCCTGGAGCACATGAAGCCGTTCTGTCTTTCCCAAACTTATTTGACCTTGGATTCATTTGTTTCAGGGGCACCTACTATTCTCCCAGAACATTAGTGTTCTGTGAGACACCACTTCTTATTCCAGCATCATCCATATTATGTAAACCTACTGAAATAATCATCTTCATAGATCCAAGAAAATGCTAATTACTTTCTTAGAAATCACTTTGGCCTTTTAAATATTTCATAAAATGTGCACCGCATTTTCTCTAATGGCAAGTGTCATTTATTGGCAACATTTTCTTCGGATTTTGCAACATTTTTCAGCCGCAGTGCTAGATTTTATTTCTTGGAAATTATACTCCAAATCTTGGATGTGCTAGATCGAAATCAATCATTGCCCTGTCCATCTCCACATCATTGGGTATTCTTTTATTATTCAATTATCTCTTTATTGCCTTAAATAATGGGTCAGTAAAACATGCTTGTTATCCAGGTGTGGTTTTCTAAAGTTGGGTTGAATAAAGGATTACTGTTTAATCTAAATAATGTTTTCTCTCCCCCACCCCATATTTAGTTCTTAAACACTTCCAGTAACCATGACAACTTAGACCTGGAAATGCCTTCTTTAACTTCACCTGCTCTCAGTGGTCACAAACTGACTGTTACAACACCATTTCACAGAGATCAGCCTGTGAAGACTCAAAAGGAAAATACTATGTAAGTCCTTGTTCAAGAATACAGTTCTCTACCTTATTTCTTAAGGAAATCTCGTCGCCAAATATCTTCGTGCACAGGACTGGTACACATGTATGTGTATACTTGTGCATATGCCTACCTTGACAGCATCTGCCCTGGGTTGGGACCACTCCACCAAGAGGTAGAAGGTGGGATGATCAGCGAGATTATCTGTTGCCAGTGATTCTGACATGTAGAGGTTGTTTTCAACTCATTTTCTTTCCACTCTATAAGGTGTTGTGTTCTTTACTGAAAGCCAGTTTTAAAATCTTTGATTTCACCCAGAGTACAGGCTTCAGAAGAAGCATGAGTATGGCTCCCATTTTGAAAATCTTGCTTTTTCTTTTTGCACTTTCTGTATAGATAGGACCTTTGTTCATATCACCTAGAATATCATATGATTAGAAGCTAATGGCTGATGAAGCAGTCCTCTGTATCCAATGAACTTCACCAATTTAAATTACAGATGGTGGAGAAACAGTGTGGATTATAAAATATCTTTCAAATAAGTACAGTCTTCTTATTTTTAAGTATGAGAAGTGCTTTTTTTACAGTTAACAATGTTTTTGTCTTTTGTGGTGGACTTTGTGTTAAGGAATTGATAAAATCGATTCGTACATGGTCCCAGATCTGAACAATGGTCATGGTTCTTATGAAGACTTACAAGCAGGTCTTCAGACCTATTGAAGATGGAAATATTTGCATGCTCTTAATCATAGGGGTACAACAATTTGAACCATTTGAAAATAGGTGATGTGCATATTATCCCTTTTCTTAATCAATATATTGTGATTAAATCACCGAGTCCAATTCCCTTAGAATGACAGTTTATTGTATTTAGTAGAAAGATGTAGATTATACTGGACTTTTTTTTTTTTAAGTTTTAGAACTCCAGCTATCAAAAGGTCAATCCTAGAAAGTTCGCCGAGAACCCCTACACCGTTCAAGCATGCGCTTGCAGCTCAAGAAATGAAATATGGTCCGCTGAAGATGCTAGTAAGTTTTAGAAGCACTCTTGGGTGTGGCTGGTTTCCTGGTGTAGGCCGATGCTTCCCTCTGATGTGAACCTCCGTACACTTCCCTCCAGCCTCAGACCCCGTCTCATCTCGTGGATGACATACAGGATGTGATTAAACAGGAATCTGATGAATCCGGAATGGTTGCTGAATTTCAAGAAAACGGGCAGCCTTTACTGAAGAAAATCAAACAAGAGGTAAACCTGAGCTCCTTCAGGAACAGCATGTGCAGGGGTGAATCCCGCTCCCGGGCCCCTCTCTGTTTTCCTTACTGTATGTGGCAGCTGTGCTTCCTAAGGGTACCTACCGCAGCACTGGGGACAAGGCCCAACTCCTGGGTGACAGCGTTGGGCACGGTGTTGGCCTTGCCGTTTTCCATGTTGATGGTGCCAATGAGCACGTTATTGGAGATGTTGCCCAGGTGCCTGCAGCACTTCTGGGTTTCATGATGGGGCAGAGGATATGCTGGGGCCGGGCAGTGGGGCAGGAAGAAGATAGGCAGCGTTTTACTCGATGTGGAAGTCACCCATTTAGGTACATGTCTTATAGATACTGTGTTTACATTGTACTATATTTACATATACATGCACATACATGGAGACCTGGTACTGCAGTGGTTAAACATTGGGCAGCTAAATGCAAGGTCAGCAGTTCTTAAACCACTCTGCGGTGACAAATGAGGCTTTCTACTCCTGCCAAGATTAGTCTCAGAAACCCACAGGGCCAGTTCTAGTCTGTCCTATAGGGTCACCATGAGTCAGTGCAGTTCTTTGATTTTACGTATATATATCATATTTTGGGATATATATGTC